TAGGCTGCACACGTCATCAACACAAATGCTTGAGATTTTGTCAACATTTTTGTTTCTGGACGAAGTTCAAGAAATATGTGTGTGATAGGGTGATGATAAACAACCAAACACTGATTCAGCTTAACATTGCAACATAATCCACTTTTGTTCATGTTGATAAGGTTTTAATGCTTCGTAGTGCATCTGAATGTTTCAGACTGGAATCAGATAGATGTATACCTGTTTTAGCTCTTTGTTGAATGTACAGTTTCCCATTATGAAAATATGTTTTGTGTGAAACTGCTTTTCGAACTCACTCTGACACAGCCTACACCTCCACTCCCCACGACACACTGCTAAAAATACCCAAATGCGCACTATGAAAAGTTTGTGGAAGAGTCTGAAACCGGTTCACGGAAATGTGGTGTCAAGGTTCTATCAAAAGTGGTCGCTATAGCAACCATTCCATGGTGTATACATTTATACAGGTAGCTTCAACGGTATCGAAACTAGCGCAGCTAGTTACAGCGCCTGCTAACCCACTTCAGACGTCTTTGTTATTTTGTTACTGTTGATGTTTATTAAGAGAGTAAAATAGAACACAAATATTTCAGCCACTTTTTCTGCAGTTCAAGTCGACTTGAATCACACGAAATAAAGTGACACCGCTTGGGAATAAACAAGTCTTCACGGTAATGTCGTTCGCGGAAATGTCGTGGTACGATGCGAATTGTATATTAGTGTAGAACTTGTTTAACTATCTTTAAGTCACTCGACGTTCGTATCCAGTTTTATCAAGACAAACCCTTTCCAGAATACAACTCCATTTCACTCCAGTGTTGACATCAATTTTTTTCCAAACAAATAAAAATTATAGCAAATAATAGCTCGAAGAACTAATAATTTACTTTGTATTGTAGTAATATAACGTATGTTTTCAAAATGTTCATCTTGTACTTATCGTTGTGTATGTCATTTTTTGACACCAATCGTTGCTTTGTGGCAGTCTTATTGATTCTGAGAGAAACAACATCCAGTTTAGGGAGAACAAATATATTTGAAAACTTTGTTATTTGGTCTAAAGTTGAGCCTTTCATTCGTTTAACCGAAGAGAAGAAATATAGAAAAAAGAAATAGAAAAAATATAAGTCGAAATCTTTTTCCCATGAACTTGGAAGATCGTGTTTTTTCTGAAAACGTTTATTTTTTGTTATAAAACTTCAAAGATGACTATGCAAATACTAATTATTGATAATAAAAAGTATGACGACCAAAAGTTTCTTATGTCCACTTGCTATTAGCAAAATATATAATATTGGTTTATTTCAAGCTTTTGATGTAAGTTATGCATTGAAAGCTCGAAATAAACTAGCAGTATATATCGAGTTTGAAAAAGTCGTATTATGTTCTTCGAGCAGTTTTATACTCTGTTCTCTTCTTTGTTTCATATTGCTCTTCCTTCGAGTTTTTTATCTGATTTGTTTGAGTATTTTACCTGACCACACAGCTACCATTGAATTTTTCCTACATATCGCCTGTTCGTCGAACTTGCTAAAGTGATTCATCATGTACTTAATTACTAACACAAAAGTTATCAGTTCCGTTTTTCATTCGTTTTACTTGGTTTTTCCAACGTGAAAGAGGTCACGAGAGCTGATTGTGTTGATACTGTGTATGTCCCCTGCGCTGTTTTATTATAAATTAAGTTAGATCTATACAAATTGTTATTTGATCGTTGATTTATCGAAGTATATTTAGAAATGTGTTCAACATATTTTTGCGTTGTCTCGCTGTTTCTAACGTTGAGACGCGGAGTATTTATTTAAAATATCCATTCGTTCCTTGTAGGTGCATCATGAGAAACATGATGAATTTCATTTGAATGTTTGGTGTGGCAAGAATATTTTGAAATGCTTTACATAATTGATCATGTTGTCCCTTTTTTGCATATCTAGAATTTTATCGATATATTTCACTTGAAGCTTCTTATAATTAATGATCTGTGTGTGCGTGCGTGTGACTGGAAATACGACAGATGATTGGTTCTCATATATAGTTCATGCACAGGACCTTGTGTATTATTCGTAGGCCTGTAAAAGTTCACGTTTCGTTCTTTGAACGTGAACGCTAAAGGACGTTGATGTTCCTCGAACATGAACGCCAGTGTTCCGATGAACATGAACTTTATTTACTTAGTACAACAACAGTACACCAACAGTGTTCGTATTGTCTGAGGTAAATGATCATTTCACTTAATATGGGTTTCCACTAGGTTTCTGGAACTTATTTTCAAAGCAAATATCGTCACGGAATTCAGCGTGGTCGATTACCTATGTTCTCATTCGTTTTCGGAATTACTAAGCCTAAAGAAATATTGATACTGGGACTCTCAGAAAATCCGACGCTTCGCCTGAACCGGCAAAAATTAAAAATTCACTTAGTTCTCAGTTGGAAGAGGACACTTTGGACTATCTATCTGTAAAAAGAAGTCAAGAGACTTCTATGTCAGTTTCTAGAAATCTGAGTTGGTTTTCTAAAGATCTTCGGAAAAATCGCTCTTTCAAATAATTCCGGAGAGGAGTTTTGCTTAAGGAAATATAACTTCAGGTGTCTTTTTTTGATTTCTGAAAGCCGCAAGTTTCCATCATTTGTCATCTTTGAGTTATTTGAAAAATAACCGAGTGCCTTGTATTTTAGCGCCTATAATAGTATGTAATAAAAACGAGCAGAAACCCTGTTTACATTCGGAGAATAAAATTAACTTGTGCATACCTTAGCCTCAAAACAATTTTCATTCTGCACAAGATGAATATCGTTAGTATAAAATAAAGTTCACGTTCATCGGAACGCTAGCGTTCACGCTGAAGGAACGCCAGCGGGCTTTAGTATTACGTTCAGAGAAAACGCTGAACTTTTGTAGGCCTAATTGTTCGCCACCACTCATTTGGATGTGTCTTGGAAAAAGATATTTTGAAACAGACTTCTAACAAAATTTTCGATTCTTTTTAGTGTGATATTAAACAAAAAAATTGTCGATACTCCATCACGTTCATTTCTCCATTCTATTAGGCGAACACCTGATAAATGTACCGGATTAGTACCTTCTCACATACTTGCAGAGAACTTCTTGGTTTAAAATGTCTTCTTGTTTTAGACCAAAAAACGACAGAGTGGTGTGACGAAACATTTTTCTATGAGAAAACAAATTGAAAGTTTAGCAGCAAGGAAGCTTTTAACCCTTTATTGCTGGAAGAAAAACAAGCAGGATATTGGAAAAATTCTTTCTGCATTTTCTTCTCGACGCTTCTTTTAAAACTTTGTTTCGTTGCTAAGAAAATTAATTTTTTCTAAATCAGCGGTGAAAAAGTCGAGATTCTGCCCGTAATTCTCAATTTTCTCCATCAGAGCTCAATTTCTCAGCAAAAATAATGTCATATTCGGAACTAGGATCAAAAACTAAGTCGACTGATATGTATTTCTATCCTATCTGACTACGTTATTTTTTTTCGAATTTTTACCTTCATAATGATATAATTCTCAACTAATTAGCATCCATCGTTAATGAGCTGGGATTCTTTTAAAAAATCCCGATGTATTTGAATACATTGACTGTGTTTACTCCATGGACATAAGTGAGCTGACTCTATTTTCTTTTGCGAGCTTTCTCTCTCTCCGAGACCATCAGTAGACAGTTTTTTTATTAAAATTTCCTTATTATTTACATTCACTATACTATCCAGTTTTGTCGTATTTTTAATTCTGTATTTAACCACGTTTGAATCAAGACTTTCTATCATTTATCCTTGCCAAGTTGTATCAAATTTACAACAACAAAAAGAGTTAAATTTGAAATTTTAAAAATTTAATTTTGAATAAGGAACTCGATTTTTTTTCAAAATGTTCGAAATTCGATGCTGAATCCGAATATGGGCTTCGAAAATTTTTTGAGTCGCATCGATTTTTTCAAAACTCATTTTAATCGTTAATGTAGGTCAAAAGCCTTGGTTTTCTGGAAACCACATTTCCAAGAGTTTTGGAGAAAAGTTTCTAGAGAGTAAAAGAAAGAAGATCTTGAGAAACTGTTAAGATCTGGGTTTCAAATGAATATGCTCAGTGTGTGTGCAGAGTTAGTCTAGACCAGCATCCTCATGTAACACGCCTATTTCCAGATTGAAAATCGCTGAGCATTTTCCATAATTCTAGAAAATCAAACTGGAAATTCTACCTCGAATTTTCAAAAATGCTGGAAAATCGAGATGGAATTTCTAAGTTTCTTGTAAATTCGATTTTCCAGAATCTAGAAAATCCTCAAGGGATCTATATATGGACTTTTTAAAAATGGCCGAGCATTTTCTATAAATAACTCCCGACATTACAGTGTGGTACCTGATGTTAAGCTCACAACAGGAGAAAATTTCATGTCAAAATACTTTATGATGACCCTGAATACAAACATGGGAAGAAAGATGCTTTTTGAGCACTCAGCAACTCAGAGTAATCATTCAAACGAACTGAAACTCAACAAACTGATGAAATTTTGTAGACTTCGCTATATAAAGAACTAATTTTTCTATACATAGGCATATCATTGAAGGTATTCTCTACAAACTGGCAAAGTTTGAGGGTATGTTAGGGGGGAGGACACACCCCCCCCCTTAAGAAACTTAGTTCAGTGAATTTCGACTGATAAAAATACCGTTGACAGTTCAGAACGTCACCGATTGAGATGCAACTGAGAGTTTGGAACGTCAGTTGATAGATGCAGTTGACAGTTTAGAACAACAACTGATGAATTACCGTTGATACTTGAGAACGAACGCCGCCACGGCTACACCACTAGTAGTCAGCATCAGTGGTCTAAGTTGCGAAAGTGATTCAGTTCGCGATGGCCGGCCTGGTTCTTAATGACAAAAGTTGAACATTTTTTTTACATATAAGCTTGCACCATGCAAGATTCGTTCAATTAGACACACATAAACATTGTTATAAAAGTACAAAAAATATAACATTACAAGATTCAACTATCGGTTGCGTTTTTCTAATTTAACCCAAATTGCTTCTGGCGCAATAACAGTTATTTGTCTAATATTCAGTTTTTCCTCTAATTTATCACATTTAACAATTGTATATTGTTTCAATAATCTTGTTAATAATATTTTCATTTCAGTTAAAGCAAATCTCATTCCAACACAATTGCGTGGACCTGAACCAAACGGTAAGTAACATAATGGATGTCGCTTAGTGGAATGACGCTCGGGATGAAATTTTTCAGGATCAACAGGACCCCATAAATCAGGATCGTAATGTATACTATAAACATCTGGTTGAATAACTGAACCTTTGATAAATTAAAATAACAAAATAGAGGCGATAAACAATATGATTGGCCGACTTTGTTGTGACCTTACAAAATATCGATTTTTCCGCCCCCGTATTCAGCATTTTAAAATCCAACCTCAAAGAATCAAGAAACTGTTTAAAGGGGCGGAAATATAAGACAGAATTATTAATTCTAGCTAAGCTTTCAGACCGGTTTTTGCAAACGATTGACTGAAGCATTAGAAAAGTCATATCGTTCTTCTACTTTATTCCCAGCTAAACTGCTTTCAGTTAGCTTGACGTAAAGAGCAGAAAATTCTCTACATAATGAGCTAAAGAAGAGCTCTCAACCATACCATACAACGAGATTATATATCATTCTTTTATACATGGAATTTGTGGAAAAACGAACTACTGTCTTTAAAAAAAGAAGTACACTAAGCCATTTTTGGAATAACTTTTGAATGAACATAGCTAGAGAGCAGCAGTTTTCACCAATCGAAAGTCAAGACCTTGGTTCATCTTTTCATAAAAAAGTAACTTTGAAAATGTATTTTCGAAGTAGATTTTGAAGTAGATCTTAGAAAAACCAGACTCCGTAGCTTCAAGTAGAAATATTTTAGGTTTTTTACGTGGGTAGATAGGCTTAAGTGTTCTCTTAAAAATAAGAATCCTCCGCCCGCTTTGGTTTTTGTCGTTTGGGTGTAAGATCGAATTTCCCTGGGTGTTACAGGACTGGTCTAAAATTATATGCGGCAACATGGGAAATAACTGAGCTACAGGTTACCGATCGCACTAAGTCTAGTGGTGATAGTTTATGTTAGAAATCTAGTGAAAAGCTTTCATGCAAAATTGAAAAATCATAATTTACTCATAATCAGTTCAAAACACTTCAGAATTTCAATGTATACTTTATTTTGGCTGTTTTCCATTGCCTTGTCATTCAAAGTGCGAAAAGAGTGTATGCATGTGTACTTCCGAGGTTTTCCAGAATTCCAACGAGATCTAACGAGGGAACCTTTCGAGGTGATTGAACGCTTTTTACTCGGAATCTAGTGGGTTGTAGGTTATCGCCCATGCTAATTCCAGATATGACCATGGGAGTTGACCTTAGCTCTTCGAAGATCCGATTTTCTAGAAAACCAGTTTTTCAGAAACTCTAAAATATAACCAGAACCTTTCTTAATGAGACATCATTGTAGTCCGCAAAGTTCTGATCAAAATGAGACATCTCCCAGCTTTACACGCCCTTTCTTTGCAAAGTTATAGAATCTACCAGAAAAGTCCTAAATTACTTTCGTCTTATTTCTGCTGCTTTGAGCTGGTAATGAACATTTAGGGCTTTACTTGTAACTTCTATAACTTTGCAAAGAAAGGGCGTGTAAAGCTGGGAGACGTCTCATTTTAATCAGAACTTTGCGGACTACAATGATGTGTCATTAAGAAAGGTTCTGGTTATATTTTAGAGTTTCTGAAAAACTGGTTTTCTAGAAAACCGGATCTTCGAAGAGCTAAGGTCAACGCCCATGGTCATATCTGAAATTAGCATGGGCGATAACCTACAACCCACTAGATTTTGAGCAAAAAGTGTTTAATCACCTCGAAAGGTTCCCTCGTCAGACATTTTCTTTAAATTTGTCTTATTTTTGACTCTATCAGGCAGCTAAGAGATTTTCAAAATGGCTTTCATTAATAAGAAAAGTGATCAGGTCTTGGCTTTCGATTGGTGAAGACCGCAAGTATCTATAACTCTCCTGTCAAGCGTTCAAGTCCATACTTTTTTCCGACAAGACAGAAGTTTCCTTCACTAAGATCCCCATATCTTTAATGACTGGTCCCACCTGTGTGGATACTCTGACCAGCTCGCTTTGTAGAGAATTTCAAGGGCTATCTAATGGTATGTTTTTGAAAAATACATAAGTGTTCATTATGGCAGAGAAATGACTAAAGGAGTGTTGAAAGTACTAACATAGGTGAAAATCATTATATCGGCCAAGTATTTCGACTAAGGACCCATGTAGGCATATCTTTGAAAGAGTTAGTCATAGCTCATTTTGAAGCCCGTAAAATTCTCCATCGAATGATATATAAAGTAGAGTGGTTAACGAGAAAATAAATCATTATTATAAACATGAACGACGTTGACCCATTGGTTTGCTGAGATACTACCGAGTATTTTGAATCTTAGACTATCCAGTTACATTTTCTTATGTCTACCTTATATATCATTTTGTAGCCCGTGAAATTCTCTATCGAATGATATATAACGTAGAGTGATTTACACACTTTTTAATTCATGTCTAAGGTCAAAACCGTTTTCACACGGTTCTGAAGAATGATGATGGCATGTGGGTACTAGAATGAGGGTGGAAAGCTCGGTAAAATTAAATCTCTATTTGATCCCCTATCAAACAAAATATCAATCAACTCTGTAGCCCTTTTCATGACAAAATTACAGCGATAATACTGAAAAGTACGAAAATGATCACTTCTAATGGGTCCCAAAGTTCAGACGTCCGACGCTCTGTGCCGAAGGGTTTTCAAAAAGAATTTTTAGTAGTTTTCTGACGAAATCGCATACGCTCTTTCAGAATCTGTGATCAAAAACGAATTTTGAAATTGAGGAGGTGGAAAGTATGTCAGAAAAACGCGGTTTTCTCACGGACTGCCTCTTAATATCTAACCACCATTACCGCGATGTGCTCTATCTCCCGAAGACACGAGTCGTGAACGCATCAGTTCATCATAAATGAAATATACCTTTTGGAATTTTATATCCACATACAATTGTGTCCTTGATACATTCGCGATTGATTGCTCTAGGAGCAATTGGATGCATTCTCAAAACTTCTTTAATAAACATATCCATATAGTCCATACGATTGACAATATCGTAATCAGGATTTTGTTGATCATCATCGACAATGTATTGATCTATTTCATCCTGTAATTTTTGTTGTACATCCGAATGATTGGCTAATATATACGTGCAATAGGCAAGAGCAGTCGAAGTTGTTTCATAACCAGCAAGCATAAATACAACAACATTATTTTTAACTTCATTATATGTTAATACTTTTGCTATAACTCCTTCATCATCTACAACATTCTTCTTACTTGTTTCTTCCTATAATAGTACACATCTAATGTTTTTATGAAAAATTCATTTAAATATTCATCTATACCTTTATCTCATTTCGTGTTGCTGCTTCTAACATTAATTGTAATAAATCGACTCGTTGTTTAGCTCCCTTAGATCTCATTTCAATTACTTCATGTATACGATTTCCCAACCATAGAGTTGGAAATTCTTCGATATATTTAATTGACGATGGAAATACTTGATTTATAAAATGTTTTAGATTATTTTGTAATAAAAATAATTTAATAAATAATGAATTTAATGATGGTATAAGAACACTTAGTTTCGCCACGGGACGTTTACGAGTATCAGTGGCAAATACTTTATACGCCTTTTTCAAATAGATATTATCTGGATCGTTTTGCATATCAGTATCAATCCCAAATGCACATCGACCTAAGCAGAAAAAATAGTTCAATTTTTCTATCTTAAATAAAAAGAAAATTTGTATAACTCACATATAACATCCATTGTCATTCGTTTATATAATTCATAGATATTAAATTCTTCATTTTCATTTGCATATGTTGGTAATTTAGTCATCAATTGATTAATACAATCGTTAATAAGTGGTGACATTTGTTTTAATTTTAATGCTGAAAATGTTGGATTTATTACATATCGTTGACGTTTCCATCTAGCTCCATCTGAATTAAATAAATTTACAAGTTGAGCATTTGTTGTTCGAACTGCTACTTTTCGTGCATGAAAATTTGAAAATTGTTTAATAAGTACTTCTTGTAAAAAGTTAACATTGGATACAACATAAGTCGGTGTTGTTCCTTCATAAATTCCATATATTTGTCCAAATTGTTTTGTCCATGTTTGTAATTGTCGAGAAGGAAATTCAGCATTCCATAGTGTATTAAAATTACCAAAAAAAAATTGTGGCCGAGGTCCTGGTATTTCTTGTAATGAAAAATATTTATATCGATTTAATATAATTAATACATATGTTAATACAAGACAAAGAAAAATTGTTAATAAAATTATAGGTAACATTGTCTTTTTATTATTTCAAGCATAAAGTGTAATATATATATATATATGTATTTATTATGTAAATAGTAGAGAGATTAATGTCCTTAACCTCATGAATGCTGTAAGACATCTATAGATGAAATTTTATATGTTGCATATGCTTTTTCATTCTATCGATTTAACGAGAAAAAAAAATTGCCAAGGAAACACATGTTACGAAAACAACAGAACGCAAAAAGAAAAATTTAATCATTTTTTTTACATACGTATGCATGCTTTTGGATGCGTAAGAGGAAAAATAACGGCATTCAAGATGTTAAACGTTCTTAACGTAGATGAGTCAAGAATGTTTTCTTTTTCTTTTTTTGTTATTATAAGTTAGAGATAAGATTTGAACTTACACTTTTTTTCTTAGAGTCAAAAATTTGCATCATATAGTACGTTTCGTTCGTACGCTCCTGAAACGACAGATAAGATACAACTATACTCTGGAGCTGCTCCAAAAAAGTTACGTCCGTACGTTTTCTCCTGTCCGGACTGGATCGAGCTAAAATTTATGCGTCCGCATACGAACCGAACAGAAAAATAAGTGATTTGGGACGATCTCTGGTTATGACTGTATTAGGCATGTATCGAGTAATTGACTAAGGTATTTTGGTAAAGCAATAATATTGAAAAAACGTAGTAAGAAATACAGAACTGCTACAAACATGATTAATACCCATGCTATTATCACAATGCTATTATTTTGCTTTATTATGGATATTTCGATGATGTCCATTCGTCATCATCAGAATAAACGAATGACGCTAGTCAATAAGAGTACAAAAAAGGAAAAGAATAGAAAATTAGACAATTAAGGCGCTCCAAATTCAAAGGTAAAGCACTATTTTATATTTGGCTGAAAGATACACTATTCGACGCAGAATTTTACGCCGATCACGAATATCTTATTCAAAAAGTGTTCAGTAGGCCTTTTCGATGAAAAAAAAATCGAAAAATTGATAGCTGTCATTTTTTCGAAAAATCGCAATTTTTTGTAAAACATGCAATATCCCAGCTCCACAATGTCGTAGAACCTTCGGAAGGCGTTTTTTGTAATCAGCGGGAAGAATTACATATAGAACCATGTATTTCAAGGTTCCACACCACACTCATAAGTAGTGCTCAATATCTCGTCAAACTTTAGATGGCTTCGATTTGACTCGCAAATCTGTCTCCTCCTAGAGTTTAAGAGATAGAGCCTTGATTCTTACGCCATTCGAACCGCCTTGAAACGTACAACAAACTGACGTATACTTTTTTTGAAATTCTTTTTGGAAAACTCTTCTTTCACGATGAAAAATCGGAAATACCACGCTTTTAACTATATTCTGATATTTCACTGTGAAGGGAGAGTTTTTCAAAATTGAATCTAGAGGCAATGATCCTCTGAAAACCGAATAGAACTAAAAATAAAAATAAAAATTCATTGAAAGCTCACCTCTATTTATGTTACCTTCTCGCTCAGACTGATCGATTGATCTGTGTAATTACATTTTATTATGCTCATACAATTTGATTTGAACTGACCTTTAATATGAGCATGAGTGTGTGATGGATGAATAAAGACGTTTTGTGAACCGAAATGGATTATCGGGTATGGATGAATATATAATTCATCTTTCATAGACTAACATCGATTATTTTTCGTTATTCAAACTGTCCGATGTTTCTGGAGAAAATTTCAAATATGCTTGACAGTCGACATACTTCTAACGAAGGAAGTACCCCAACTGATAAATCGCTTTTTCAACGAAACCGACTGGACTATAGGTAGTCGACGATGCTGATTCCGAATACCACCATGAATGCTGCCGCTAGGCCTTCAAAGACCGGTATTCTGGAAAACCAGTT